AGCCCTAAATCCTAAACCCTAGGGTTTTGGGTCTAGGGTTTAGGGTCACGGGATGAGGCCGCCGCCTTGCGCTCGGCTCTGGAACCTCTCTTTGTCCGGCAACTTGGCAGCACACATCAGGTACATGTAGGGAGATCTACATATATAAAATACTAATAAGAATAGTTATCATTATTTTGTTTTATTATTATTATTAGTATTATTATTAGTATTGTATTATTATTATTATTGTTAATAGGGATTCTATGCGGGTTACATGGGGATATATAGAGGTTATAATATAGGGTCTGTAATATGTGGGTTATGTAGGACTAGCATTGAGCTGTTACAAAAGCTCAGTCAAACCACTTCCTCAAAACTCGACCGGAGATGTGTTTCCATCCATCCTGGATCCTCATTAGCATGGCTCAGGTATGGGGTGGACCTCTACCTGGCATCCCATGTTCACGCCTACGAGAGGACCTTCCGGACGCTGAATGGATCTGTCTGTCCCGGGCTGAGGGACAGCTGTGGCTCTTCCGTTAGTCTGGGTATCATGAGATATCAAGTTCAGATGAGCACAGACGAAGATGTAGCAAGAACCTGACATGTTATCTTTCAGCTCTCTGAACTCCTTTGGAGTTTCCTCCTAAGCCGCCAGGCAAAGCCGACAGCTCCGTCGACGCTTCCTGCGGGTGCTTTGGGGTGAAGTCTGGTAATTATTTTAGGGTCTGAGGGTTCAGGGTTTAGGGGAGCCCAAGTAGTTTTGGAAGAAGGGCAGGGTAGGGTTCGACCTACAGAAAGGACCCAGGCAGAGTCGACAGTCCTTGTTTGCAGCTACATGCCGCAGGCTGACCCCCAAACCCAGGCATTAACTCACGTCATCCTTCTGATGCAAGCTTTAATTGTAACAGGCCCGTCAGCATCGTGAATGGAGATTCTGCAGAACCTCCTCTCCAGAAGCTCGGCTTCCAAAAAACGTGCTTTCAGCAATGTGTGCTGGCCAGTGAATGGAACTTCGAGAGAGTACAACAGTAGCTAGTAATAATCCTGTAAAGCATGTGAAATCTGCTGAGGTATGATGACATGCCGGCTCGATTCACAGTCAAGCGTCACCCTGGCCAGTCAAGCACTTACACGTTGCTGCAACGTTTCAAGCACTGCAGCTGGGGTTTAGCGCTTGCAGGGTGCTGGTTTCGCGTCTGGTGAGTTGGTGGTTCATTGCGTGACGCTGGCAAAGGATCCTGGAAGAGGGTTATGATATCAAGAACCGTCTATGTGAGGTCTGGCTATGGTGAGCTGATCCTGCTGAATTCGACAGCCATCGAGCGCATACCCCAGGGCTACATGTTATACTAGTCGTCGTCGTCCTTTTTCATTGCCCCCAATATAACCCTATATAACCCATTATAGTAGTAGCTACGCTCGGTTGTGCTTGAGCTCGGAGCAAGCGTGAAAACCCCACCCGATCCACCCGTCCGCCAGCAAAGCTTTTGCAAATTTGCGACTCCAGACAGCGATTGGGGTTATTATATAGGGATAATGGACAAGAAAACAGAAACAACTATAGTATATGGACGAGAATGGAAACTACTAGAGTATATAGGGATTTTATATAGGGATAATGGAAAGGAAATCGAATCTAAACCCTAAACGCCAAACCCTTAAAGGCTTAGGATTCCATGGCTCACTTTGGGCTCCAATAAGTCCCAGACGTAACCAAGCGTTCAACTTCAGCGCGAGTTTTTTTTTTCTGCGCAGGGTGCAGCAATATGGTAGGAAAGGATGTCGTACTTGTGGTGGCAGTTAGGCAGATGGGCCGTCGGGATGCAAAGATGTGTGTTCGTGATAGCAATGCCAACTTTTGTTTAGACTAGGCCTTCGAACGAACCCGATGCCTAGCAAAAGCCATTTTGTTTCGAAGGCTAGACCAGTTTCATGGTTTGCTGCTTCTACGAGCCGATGATTAATTCTTGAGATTCCGGCTTGCAAGAGGGCTTTATTTATGAAGATCTGGTATCTCGTGACCATTTACGCCTTCTCTGCAGCCACGTAGGTGGAGCCGAAAGTAGACCGACAGTCCCTCCAAAGGTTTACTAGGCTCACTTTATCATGTTACTGAATGCAGTTTGGTGAGAGCTCCGTAGGTATCGTCAGCTGGATTCCGTCACAGGAGCCGTGAACGACCAGCATGGGTCCTGGAGGGTTGATGTGAACAGAGACAGAGTACCGTACCTGGATGGTGAGTTATATGGTTTTACAAGAGGATGGCTACAGTTCCACATCGATCAATCAATGGCTTCCATCTTAGCCATAATACTAATAGTGATACAATGATAAAAGTAATACAAATAGTAATAGGAATATTAGTAATAGCAATAATACTAGAAAAATAATCATGCTTCAAGCATGGGGATGCCAACACCCATAAAGTCACTCTACGGCCCAGCACGTTAGGTCAATTCCTCTTTCCCCGCAGGCCAACCGGTCAGTTGAAACCAACCAGATTTAAGTAGCACCCACCAACCTGACCCAACATGCCTTCGCCTAGAGGAGTGATCATTTGAGCAAGCCACTACCTGAGCCTTTTGATTCGGCGGCGGTTTGCGTTCTCACCTCCTAGGTTCATCATGGTGAAGAGCTCCTCAAACCAAGAGCCTCAAGTGGCCTGGCAAATTACAGCCTGTGGTCTGGGGCTGGGGGCAGTTTGGGCGTTGAACTGGCATCATGGCTGCCAGTCCAAATGTAGGCTGCTGGCTTTGTATACGCTTGGACCGAGAGCACTAATGACCGATTTTTTTCCACATCCGCTTCTGCTGGAGCAGAGTTGGACTTCAGGAGAACTTTCTCGAGGCTGTTGGTTGGCTGGCAGCGGGCTCATTTGCAAACAGTTGCTACGATCAGTCGAGAGTCTTTCAAGTTGGGCAGTCCCGTGTTCTGAAGCATGAGGGCTATACATGCCGAGGCCTTTGCCACTGCACTGGTCACGTTTACCTGCGGGTTCCTGGCTCGGTGTGTGTGATGATTTCTTGTTCGGTTCTGGAAGGGATGATGGATGGTGGGACTGGGTGGGAATTGGCACGCCCAGGTTTGTCAAATGGGTCCACTCGGATGGCTTGAAGCGCCGTGACGAGGCACACCTTGCTTGGGCAGCAGACTTTCCGGAAGCTGTGGTGAAAGACGTCGTGCTGTTGCAAGTCATCTCGACCAGGGAGTTGTGGTGTCGCTATCTTTCTCACTGACCCTGCCCTGTTCGCTGTAATGGATGGCAGGCGTTACGGCACCTTCGGACAGAGATAGCAGAGACTTGGCTGCAGCTTTAGGTGCTCGAGCGCCGTCCCAGATTTGGTTATAGTCTTGCCTGTAATGAGCTCGTACGCGTCCACGGTACTGAAAGTGTTGCCGGGCCTAACAGAAAGATACCTGAAATTTTTGAAATGGTCAGGTACTGAGTGGCCTGCCGCCGAAGGCACGATCTTTGATTGGAACCAGCGCATGCCCTTTTGGACTTGCGGCAGGCATGTTGCTACAGGCAAAAGGGAGGTGTTTACAGTGAACTGGATGTGGTAGTTACATGGGAACCCCGACATAAATATAAATGTGCAGACCCCACATACCAAACACTGTAACCCAGATGACCCCCAAAATAGTACACCTAGTTTTGGGAAACTCTAATTCCAATGAAATCCCAGTGTCTATTTAATTTTCCATGTTCTTTTTCATCATTGGGGTAATAAGCCTACACTAAAGGGACCTCCAATTCTGGGAAACCCTAGCCCTATTTCCTGGACCCTGAACCCTATATGTCCTTATGTAACACCATACAACCCCCCCATAGCCCCTTAAAGGGACCCTAATTTTGGGAAACATCCCCCAACCCTAAACCCTAAAACCCTAAAACCCTAAACCCCAAACCCCAAACCCTAACCCCTAAAACCCTAAAACCCCAAACCCTACATCCATGTGTGGAGGTTGCTGGAAGCCCTGTGGAATCCCAGCACTTGGTTGGAGCCGCGGCCCTGGCCACGCCAACTTTAGGGTCTAAAATGCCCATGTAACCGGTACCTTTAGGGTTTAGGGTTTAGGGTTTTAGGGTTTAGGGTTTTAGGGTTTAGGGTTTTAGGGCTTAGGGTTTAGGGTTTAGGGTTTATTGGGATTATATAGGGATAATAGAAAAGAAAATGGAAGCTACTATAGTAATAGGGTATATGTTAGGGTTATGTAGGGGATAACGGAAAAGAACCTGGAAACCATTGTAATATGGGGTTTAGGGTTTAGGGTAACTATAGTATATTGGGTATGTACATATATAGAGGTTATACAGGGGTTATATAAAGGTTATAGAGGGTTAGGGTTTCCCAGAACTAGGGGTACCTTCTTGGGGGGTCCCCATAGTAAGGACTCTAGTATTTTGGGGTCTATATTGAGGTGCCCCCATTTTTGGGAAATTACCATATAACACAGTAAGGATCCCCATAATTCCATTCCAATCTCTACATGTGGTTGGGGTCTTTAGGGTCTAAGTTTGGAGTCTTAAGCTCCCACGCCATGTGCTGACATGTATTCTTGTAGTTGGCATACAGAGGGTCTTTTGAAAATAAGCCCCCAAGCAATACTTCTATGACTCACTTGTATCATCATAGCAGCAGACAAGCCTTGGTTTCGGCCTTGTATTCACTTTCTCGTGTGTTGTTCGCGGATATTTCAGGATGGTGCTGCTGGGCTGCACTGATGGCGGAGCCTGAGGATGTACATAGAAAAAGGAAGGCGCCGCGGGACCTCGTGCTATGTAGGGATAATGGAAAAGGAAATGGAAACTACTATATTAGGGTTATACAGGGTTTAGGGTTGGGGTTAAATAGGGATAATGGAAAATGTACTGGAAACAGCTTTGAGTATTGTATCGCAGCTCAGGATAGAGCACCTGGAGCCCAGTGCAAAATCCCTCAGTCTGTGTCTTCGACACAAGCCGTGCGACATTAACTTCCCGCAGGTTCATTGTTTTTTCATGCAGTAGAGAGGCCAGTGACAGCTCCACCACTAGAAGCTGTGCATGTCTCTGGCACCGTGAGCAGTGTCAGTTTCACGACAAAGTCGTGTGAGATGGACGCAACTACTTGCAGTCAATGCAGCTGCAAAACTGCGATCATGTTGTGGGGGTGCCATGGCAAACGCTTCGCGTAGTTTGCCTGGGCCCTGCCAAGAGGTGCTCAGGTGGGGGAGTTCTGGGAGCGCCTGGAGGCTGGAAGGCGTTACGCGGGAGTTGTACAGCTCAGGCTTCAAGTTCAGGCAGCAGGGGAGATTAGTTCAGGAAGGGGGGTGGGGTCAGTTCAGGAGGGGGGGAAGTTCAGGCGGTGTGGGGAGGATGCGACTCATGTGGGAAGAATGCAGGGCCATGTGTAGAATTCACCACTCCCGAAGTGGGGTTATCTGGGAAGGATGCAACAAAGACTGTTGGGTCTGCTTTTGCACGACCTGGCGTGGTGTGATTTCGGACAAATGCGACAGGGAAGGACCATTCAAAAACAGCCCAAGCCGTGTCTTAATGTGGGAAGGACATGACGTAAGGGCTGTTCCATGTGGGTAGTGTACGACAAGGAAGGACCATTTGTAAAAGCCACCCCTCTCGCAGTTGTGTTCTGTGGGAAGTGTGAGAAGGATGTGACAGAGAAGGATCATTGCTGAAATGCCCTACTGTAACCCCTAAAACCTAAACCCCGTTCAAGAGGCAGTATGTAAGTCAATGTAAGTGCTGTCATGGAGAAACTCCCAAGTGGTCTTATCTGGGAAGGGTATAAGCTGTAGTCTAAACTCCTTAAGGGGGGTTATGTAGGGGATTGCATAGGGGAGTATTATAGGGCTTACTAAGGCTCAATAAGGGGGATGCTGGGAGGCTAGGCTATGGCTCATGTGACTGATGACAGGGAAGGATCAGTGGTTTCACTTGCGAAGGCGTCGACGGGGAACTATCGTCTCTAAAGTCCGCTTCGCGACTAGCGGTCGATCTTATGTGGGAAGGATGCAAAAGTGAGTGACTATTTGTAGAATCCGCCTGTTACCAAGTGGCTTCATCCATGTGGCAAGGATACGAAAGGGAAGGCTGGCCAAGAAAAAAGTCGCTTCTGCCAAAAGGTATGTAGTTCGAGGATATGACAGGGAAGGGCTGCTTGCAATGTACGAAGAAAAGATACTAAAACTAATACTACAGCTCCTACGAACACGATTATTAATGCCAAAGCCAATACTGACACCGATGCTACTACAAAAACTAACGGTAATTCTGTATTCGTACTAGTACTAGTAGTAATAGGAGTAGTAGTAGAAGTAGCAGTAGTAGTGGTGGTGGTAGTAGTACGTACTGGTAGTAGTGCTAGTACTAGTACATGATATCTGATCATTTGGTTTGCAGGCGAAGGGGCCGCGCCCGCCCAACCCCCCTTCTTTTTCCATTGCCATGTTTGCAAAGCGTGTTTTCCACACGGTATGTCAATAGTACCGGTGGGTTCTCTCATGTTGGTGGTAAAGGAAACTGGTGGCTGTGTGCGCTCGGAATGTGGAGGGTTCAGCGCATTTTTCTGTGCAGCGTCCTCAAAGAATCTCCTTCAGAATCGTGCTCCTGTCCAGAGCGTCTCGTGGAGAAGGAGTTTGGGGGACGCTCGCGCGAGGTGCTTTTTACGAAGTGCATAACTGTCCGTTCTGTTGGTGCCTCATTTTCGCAAAGTGCCCAAATGCCCTTTTTTTCACACAAGTCTGGCCCACAACTTGTCGTTTTAAACCCCGTATATCTTCTTTCTACCGGGACCTTTTCGGAGTCCAAGTCTTAAGATAGTTTTAGGCGCACTCCATCGCCATACTCCAATCCCTAAATCCTATACCCTAAACCCTATACTCTAAAACCTTATACGAAACTTCCCCCCTAGCTCAGGCTTGCGCAGAAAAGGCGTGAAGGGGCGTCAAAAAAAAGACCTTATACCCAAAATCCTAAACCCCTGTATAATTCCCTGTTTTCAATCGTTTCTGGCTCAAGGGCGTTTTGCCTGGCCATGGCTCCGCAGTATTGCCGGTGGCGGAGATGACCCAGGAGAGGGTTTAGGGTTCAGGGTTTGGGGTCTAGGGGGTTATATAGGGGGTGAGATAGGGGATTATATAGGGTTTGGGGTTTAGGGTTTAGGGTACAGGGCTTATGTAGGTTATATAGGGGTGATTTAGGTGTTATATAGGTATAATGGGAAATGGAAACTATCATTTAGGGTTTAAGGTTCAGGGTTCAGGGTTTGAGATTTGGGGTTCAGGGTTTATAGGGTTTAGGGGATGAGGGGCATGATGAGAATTAGGGTTCGTGGAATGTATGAGGGTGTATTATGAAATGAAAAAATGGTAAGTATTACTTAGGGCTTAGGGGCTTAGGGTTCAGAGATAGTAGAACTCCACCCAACAGGGAAGTGAAACGGAAACTATACGGTTATGCGGGAGGTTATCAAATTTTGAGGAGTTCCCTAAATTCAGTGTATTGCGGATCCCTTCGATGGGGCTCTTATTGCAATATGGGTCCCAGGATATCTCTTGTGATTTGTCCTCTTTAATGCGAGTTTTGTGGCAGCATGTAAGAAGGCAGGCCATTCAATATCATAAGAGTCGTTAGCAATGTCTTTTTGCAATGCATGCCGTCCCCTTGGAGCTGAGTTGAAGGTAAGCGTGGCTGTCATCCCTTCCTGTTTGAAAGCATCTTTCCTTGCTAACAGGCCTGTGGCCAGCGGCAAAGACCTGACGCATGCGGTAGGCGTCCGGGACATGGCTTGGGCTGAACGGGGACTTTTCGAGATGCAGCTGAGCTCTATCCGTTGTGTCAGCTCACCAAGTTTTAATTGATGTGAGCAACACGCCTGATGTGCGCAGCTGCAAAAAAAAACAAAATTAGTGGCATAGCATATGCTCTGACTTGGAAGTGATTGTGTTGGCACATCATCTAAGTGTGCAGTGTGTCACTGAAAAGGGTTTTTGCGCAAGGGTGCTTCAAAACCAGTGCAGCTTACATCCTTTAGAAGGTTCTCTGTCCCACCAGGCCGCTGGGAAATGTTTGGCGGCATTGTTGGTTTGACATCAGGATGTCACTTGCTGTAGGCAGGCTTAGCTTCCTGCGATGCTGGGCTTGATCAGATTGCAATGCCTGCAGGATAGCACTGCCCATCGCTTTGCTGCTGACCGCATTGCTCGGTGCGGCAGCCAGCAGAGATTCTCAGTGTGCTGGAAGAGCAAGCAACCGCTGTGCGAAATTCTGCTGCCAGCCGTTACGGTGATGCCGCAAGGTGAAATTTGCGTAGCTGTCTTGGCAGGTTTGGACTGGTCATTTGCATGGATGCTTCCTCAGACTGCCTTACACATGATTCTGCAGTGGCACGGCTTCCGTAGGTCTTGTGTTCGCACAGCAACAGGGGCAGGTCAGATGCAGAGGCATAAGAAGTTGTCCCAGCAGTGGCAGACATTTGCTAGGAAACAAATAATGAGACGGCTCAGTGTTGCGCGCAGTGCGATGTCGATTGAAGGCCCAACCGGCCCATGAATCGCAGCAACACCCGGAAGGGCGTGTCAGGTGCTCGGATGTGATAGGTGCCCTGCTTGTGTCACTAAGACCTGGATTCCATTTGTGCTTCAGGTTCGTGCAGGAGTGTTAGGTTTCTTCAAGAAGCATGTGTTGCAGTTTTTCGAGTGAGTAGATGCAATCGAACGAGCTGAGGCGGAGCAAGCAAGCCCTGATAGCAAACCTCCAGGACCCTCTGTTATTCTTCACGCAGCCGCCGCAGACCATGCTACTTTTGCAGATGGACTCGGGGACCTGACGAATGCATGTGCACTCCATCGGTATCAGGACCCTTCATGCCCAGCTAGCAAAGCGCGGTGGTCGATTTTCTTGATGAAGCAGCCGTGATCTCAGCCTTCAGATGAATTTTCAGCATCTGCCGACGGCTTGACAGTAGCCGATGCATCTGAACCCTTGAATCAAGGCGAGGCTACTTCGTCACCAGCTGGGAGTACGTGCCGCTTTGATGCAGCGGAGAGAGCGTACCATGCAAATACAACAAGGCTGTGCCTGTGCATGCCGCGAGTATTGCACGATCTCCTTCCTGGAACGTACCAAAAAGGGAAGCACTGCTAGTTTCCAAGCCACTGGGCAGGTGTGGAGTAGCCTGCTACATGAGCTATAGTCTAAACTCTTTAAAGGGGCCTACATAGGGAACTACATAGGGGACTTCTATAGGGGTTATGAAGGGGGATACTAGGAATTTGGACTATAGCTCACATGGCTTAGAGCCCCAGGTGCGCCATGAAGAAGATGACGGAGGCGCGATCCCCGGGTTCCTTAGAGGCACTCGGAGGCCCATTCGGCACATGTCGTTTGAGGCCCATGTGAGCTATAGTCTAAATCTTTACAGGGGGGAGGAAATTATTTGAAATGCACCTTCGTCATGGCCTAAGTTGGAGAGAGAATTCAAAAGGGGATGCAGGATATCCACGGATTACAAACTTAGCGTCTGTTGCCCTACCAAGACAACATGTTAGTTTCCCTAAATGAGCCATAGTCTAAACTCGTTAAAGGGGCTTATTTAGAGGATTATATAGGGGAGTACTATGGGGGTTGGTATTATGAAGAGGGATGCTAGGAGTCTAGACTATAGCTCAGATAGGGAGAGCCCAATATGGTAGTTTCCCAAAATAGGGGGTACCCCAATATAGACCCCAATATACTATAATCCTTAATATGGGGACCCCCAAAATGGTACCCCTAATTTTAGGAAACTACCCCGCAGAAATTATCAAGCCTCAGGTCAAGTGCTCAAACGAAGCCCTGGACCTTTGGCGAAGGATGCAAGCCTTCGTCTCAGAGCAGAAGCTGAGGTCTGATGGGAGTTAATCTTACTGGTGGTTAGTAGGGCATAAGGGAATATATTGGGGTTATTTAAGGATGATATGGAAAAGAACATGGAACTACCACATCATAATCGGGTATATGTTGGCGTTATAGCAGGGAGTACGGACATCTACATTATATAGTGATAATATAGGGATTAGATTCCCTTATTCCCTACTAACCACCAGTAGGTAATCAACACCTTCTTGAAATCCCAGTTTGTGCCCAAGCAGTCAAGTATCCATGTTCCTGCACTTGTGTGGTCGTCGTAGTGCCACATCAAACCATCCCACAGAGCCAGTTGCAAGATGTGACAAGCCCAGCTGTGCTAAAGCCTGCTTGGCACGGCTGAATCCTCTACCTGCGCTTCAGGAAAAAGGCTTGGAAGAGTCAGCGCGCCACGCTTGGCTCATACTTGGTGTTGTAGGTCTCCAGTTACAGCTGGGCATTATTTGGCATTGGCTGGCGCCAGGACTCCAGCGACATACACTGCAGCCATCGTGGCCTATAACGCAATGGGCTACTGGCAGAAGGCAAACGGTTTCAGTCCAAATGATGAAGACACTCAACGCCACCAACAAAACCCGACACCACGATTCTCACAGGAAGCTGCTATGCAGTTGTTTGTGGAGGATATTTAGGTTCATGTGCTTGCCCTTCAATGCAGACTTGTGGTCAGAAATACAAATGCCAGAAGAAACGCGTGTGCTTTCCACAGTGTGTGCATTCATTGCCAATGAGCGGAAGTCCACTTATTCACACGTGTACGTGTAGAGTTCTGACAGGCAGTTGAGACTCTTGACGAGATGCAGGCTCTCGGCATGGAACCCTGGCTCGGAATTTCAGGTTGTTCTGTTTTTCACATTTCTAGGCGGTCTTGGTTGGCCACAGACTATATTGGTGTTACCAAGGGGACATTTTAGGCGGATGTAGGGGTTCCTTTGGTAGTTTATCATAGTCCCTAACATGCTCCCTTAAAGGGAGCCCCTGTCTATTCACGACATGGGAATATCTGGGTGTTTCCAAAAATTAGGGGCACCTTTTTGGGGCCCCTGTAATGCGGATAATAGTATATTGGGGTCTATGTTGGGGCCCCCCCAAACCCTTAACCCTTCCTAAACCCTGTGCTGCAGCTCTGCTAAGGCGCCGCTCCGCATCGGTGCAGAGCATGCGCTCATGGCCTGCGAGCAGGGCGCGAAATGGGAGAAGGCCTGGGTTGAGGGTTTAGGGTTTAGGGTTCATATGGGGAGGTCTCTGGGCCATTCATATGAGCCATAGTCTAAAACCCTTGAAGGGGGGTTTCGGGTTTAGGTTTTAAACTCCTTAAAGGAGGTATATAGGAATTAGGGTAGAATGCCCTTGAAGGGGGGTGATATAAGGGATTATATAGGGGACGCGGGAATACTCGGAGATTAGACTGGTAGCTTCATGGCTACGTACAATGCTAGTTGGCCCCTATGAGGTATATCAGCTTATGGGGTGGTCTGATGTCCAACTTGCCAGGGGCTTTATGTCTGCACACACATTCGCTTTGCGCAGTCTGTTTGTTACTCACAGCGGAAAGCAGAGCCTTGATGCTGGAGATACAGAAGGACCAGACGATGGTGATGAGGATGACGATTGTAAGCCTCTGCGGTGATGATAGCATTTTTGGGGCATGAAGGCACTGTAACCTTTCATCATCTTTTTTGCTAGTTCGGCCGGAATGGTGGCTGCGCTTCAGCTGCTTTGGCTGAGCAGGATCGAAGTCCTCAGACAACGCAGAGTCAGGATGCCATGCAACAGGCACTTCGCGCCGACAGTAGCATCAGGAGACGCGGATAGTGATCGTCCAGGAGCATGCAACAAACAAAAAATCGGCCCCAGGGCCATACGCAAATCTGTCGGGCTTTTACATCCCACTCCGGTACCTTGCACCCTAAACCCTAGACCCTAAACCCTAAACCCCACGTAGTCTGAGGATGGGCGCACCACTTGCGGAGTTAACCCTTTAACACCTTAGCGGATCGCTCCCGAAACGTAAGCCATAAAGCATACTTGGAGGTTCATGGGACTTGGTAACTATTGATAACTGGGGTTATTACCTTACTTCTAATTGGGGTAACCCCTATAAGGTCATTTGGGGGGTTTATAAGTAGGGTTATAAGCCAAGTTATAAGTAGTTACTATTTCCCATGAACCTCCAAGTAAAGCCGAGCAGGCCCTCTACCTCCTGGACCAGCTCTGGGAGTACAGCATCGTTCCCAATGAGGACCCCTGGAAGTTCCGCAAAAGTGGGGTTTAGGGTTTAGGCTTTTGGGTTGAGGGTTTCGGGTTTTAGGGTTTTGGGTTTAGGGTTTTAGGGTCTAGGCTTTTGGGTTTTAGGGTTAGGGTTGAGTATCATCTTAAGAACCAGCCCTATATGACCCCATATAGTTTTAATTTTGTTTTTCATGTTCATCTACATCTGCTTCTCCATTGCAGTACTTTCCGGTTTCGTTTGCATGCCCCTTTCTTTAGCGGACCAGCGTTTCCAGTGCTATGGGCCAATACGAGCTAAGGGCCAGGGGATATTCAAGGCTTCGGGAATGCAAAGGAACATGGAAAGCATTACAATGCAGAATCACATGGAAAAGATAGTGAAGAATGCAGATGAAAATTGAGGTTGTATACGGATTCTCTGGGGCCTCTAGGGGTGTATAAACAAGAGCATAGCAAATTAAATGGAAATGAGGGTTAACTAGAGATTATGTAGGTGTGTATATACACTTCTATGATGTATATGTCTCGTCCAAGGCGGATTATCCAATGTTGTTGTTCCTCAGCTTGCATCAGATAGATGGCAATATTAGCGGCTAAGTGCAATGATTTATCGCCTGCTACTTTTCCTGTCTGTGTAGTACATCTTTACTTGTTAAGAAAGATGTACAGTGTGAGACGCACAAAGTTCACCGGTGCCGCCTACCATGTTACGTTTCAGAGAGTCCATGCCCAGCTACTGTCCAGCAGTTTCTCAGAACAAGGGGACCTGAATCTAGACCCCCAAATACTTTAATCCTTGTTATAGGGACCCCCAATCAGGTCCGCCTAATTTAGGGAACCCCCACGTGACCTATCTGCTGAGTGCCTTTCAATTGCCACAGGGCTCTTTTGCCCCGTATCGTCTTGCATCTTGGTAGACATGGAGGCGCAGGAGCTGTCTGCGATAAGTCTCTGGGTAAAGGGTTTGTGTCTTGGACATGTATTTTTTTCAAGCCAGGCATTTGCTTGGTTAATTAATGCCTGGCAGGACAACTACATGCCAGCAATCAGATCATGCGAGAACGCCTGGCGCCTGGATCAGCAGCGATGCTTCGGCGCCTCAAGGAACTGCGAGAGCTGTATGCTCGAAGATGAAGAGAAAGCTCTCATGTCCCAATCCGCCCCAGCACCCTTGTCTGAATCATCTAGGCGGTTGGATGTATGTTTGGACTGGCAACTTCATGCCCTTAACAGATCCCAGGCCGGCAGGTTCGAGGTGGGCGACCAGCTGTTTTGGAAGATGAGGCAGCACACGAAGCTAATGAACGTGGACTCCTTAGCTTCTCCTTCTGCACCCAAGATGCTCGCTGGTACCATTCCCAAGTAACTTCCGGTGAAGGCGGTCACCGCCTAAAGGTAAGGGTTGAAATAGCTTTGAGAATATTTCCATTGATTGGTCTTGCTGCCAGCCTGGCTACGACTTGTCCATTGCCAGGGCACCAGTGCGTACCCTCGACACTCAGCCTGGGGCAAGCCCACACTCACAAGGCCTCCAGTAGGCTCTGTACCCTTAGAACATTTTTTGGGGCTTCTGCGAGAAGCCTCCAAACTCAGATAGTTTTGACAGCGGAACGTCTAGTGATGTCAACCGCACAACCGATCTTCAATCAAGCTGCTCTTTCAAGCCGACATAGACTAGTAGTTGCAGCAGTAGGAGAAGGACAAGTCCAAGCAGCTCGCTGTCTTTCACCAGGATACACAGCGTTAGGATGTGAGATCCTGGCACTGCGGCATTAGCGTTTGCAGAATTGGACTCTCCAACCACCTAGTAACCTAGTATAACCTAGTAGAATAGAAGGAAAAGGTACTATTACTTATACCAAGTATACTTATAATGAGAGTAGAAGTCGCTCCCGAGATCCTACAAGCCTCAAGACTGCATTGAGGTCGCCGAAGAAGTGGGCGTGAACCCAGCTAGAGAGCCACCCAAGGCCTTGGGGGTTTCCCACGGTTAAGGTTTAGGGTTTAGGGTTTAGGGTTTAGGGTTTAAGGTTTAGGGTTTAGGGTTTAGGTACCTTTCTGGGAGTTCCTATCCTGTGTATTGGGTTCCCCCCCAAATTGTACAAAAAATGTGGGTGAGGATGGTAAGCATGGATTGTGTAATTGTAATTGCGGCCAGCAATGCTCGATGACCGAAAGCACTGACTGGTGCATGCGGACTGAGATGCAGAATGCCTTCAAAGGTCCCTGTTGATTCTGATGAGGTTGTGAAGCATTTATCTAATTTAGATTGTATTGTGGTAGTTGTTGCAAATACTGCTTCACTACTGGAAGAGTGAAGTGGATGCAGAAATCACACGAAAGACAACACAATATAAATTTTGTCTTCCATAATGATGTGTAAGCATGAGCGAGGCGTACAATCGACATGCACGTTTTCATGTTGCTATCACAGACGTCGAACTTGATCCGCAGACACGAGTACATCAAACTTACGTGTTCTACGTAGCTGACGCAGTATGAACGGACAGGACTGGGTCTATGGGGAGATACTGAGCATTAACCTTCACATACCCCTAGTGTCTATCTCATTTTCCATATTCTTTTCCATTTGCTTCAACATTATTAGGCTAGTGTCCCTGAATCCGAACGAATCCTCATGTATCCTCATATAGCCCAAGATATCCTTTTATATAATCCCTACTTTCCCAGTTGTTTTTGAAAACCTTGAAAGAGATCCGCGAGGCGAAACCCACTCTCTGGAGGATCCCGGGATCAGTCGACCCGAAGGCTGGTAGGAAACAATTTTATCACGAAGCGGGGGGCCTTACAGCTTTAGGGGGAACCTAAGGGATCCTAAAGGGTTTATGAGGATTATGGGGGGAGTTTGGGGTATAGATTATGGAGTAGTAGGGAGTACTCCACAGTGGAGATTATGAAAGGCGAGGCCCCTGGGGATGCATAGGGAAGAGAAGACGGGAAGTGATCGGTACTGTCTCTTCAGAAGCGTATACTTGGGGGTTTCCAAAAATTAGGGGTACCATTTTAGGGGTCCCCATAATAAGGATTATAGTATATTGGGGTCTATGTTTGGGTCCCCTTATTTAGGGAAAGTACCACTTGATAAGCTTACGTACAGGCATACGACCCTCCGAACCTCACGGCCACCTTCGAGAGACAAGCTCGGCGGAAGAGGCGCTGTTGGACGCAGCTTGTTGAGTCGAAGGGGTCATATGTCTCATTTGGACGTACAGAGACCGTTGCTGAAGCTGTAGATGTTTCATGTCCAACCCATGCAGGAAGACTCCACGGCTCCCACCAGGGCGACCGAAGGTGTGGGGTTAAGGCCTCTCGCTCAGCTTCAAGTTAGTTGCCAAATCAGAAAGCGGCTTTGGGCTTCCGGTTGTTCTGCTTAAAGATTCCCCAGTTGTGAAGTTGGAGCATTTCTTGCAGTGGCCTCAGAATATGGCAGCCCATGCTAGCTCGTAAAAGGTTTTGTCAAAAAATGTGCGCAACACAGACGGAGGTCAAAAACATCAGGTGGCCACCCCACAAACAGAAATGGAAACAGGTGTAATACAGCAGAACTATGTCCAAATTCGAGTTGTTGGGGTTGTCACCACTTTCCGATCGGTGCGTTGCTTAAACAAGCTCATATTCTTGGCAAATAGTGCTCGGAGGTCTTGCCTCGTACCATGGCCTCTGTGATGATTTGTGTCGGGCTTATTCCACACCCATACGGTAGTTTCCATAAATGGGGGGGCCTCAATATCGACCCCAACAGTCACTATAGTCCTCACTCTGGCGACCCCCAAAAGAAGGGATCACTAATTTCCCTGGAAACGCTTTGCAGGTATGTCTGTAGGCACAGGCCCGGTGTCTTCAGCAGTTTTGTCAAGCTTTGTCAAGTCGAGACCAAGCTAAGCAAAGCGCATCCCTCATAACACCAGATCCCTGATCTGCTGATCTTATGGATCATGAGTGTAGATACATGAACACATCTCTAGATATCTCTGGCCGAAGGAACTGTACCCACCCGATGGCCTTCACTTATGCTGCAGGCCTTCTCAGCTATTGAGAAGATCTCGCACACCAGCAGCAGCTGCAGAAAAAAAAAGGGTGCTTGGTCAAGGGATGGCAGGGACTTCCGGGGTTTCAGAGTGTGTTATACTTGTAGGAGGAAAAATCTCATTCTCAAGGACTTAGAATGTTTGGTTGGCACGGATAATTTTTGCTTCAACACAAGCGTGCTAAAGCAGATTTGGAGTTGCAACTGCTATTGCTGCCCGCTTCAGAACTGTCCAGCACTGCCATTTCGCAGTGGTTTATGCCGTGACAGCCTCCGGCTGAAACACTGGTAATAGTAACCATAACAGTAATGATTATATTGATAGTATTGCTGGTAATAGAAAAAAATAATGGAAACAAGAATAATAGTACTCGAAATGGTAGTAGCAATAATGCATACCCTAAACCCTAAACCCCTAAACCCTATTGCGATAGCCATTTTGGGGTCAGTGAAGTCTTTGCATTCCGGGCCTTCAGCCCAAACCCTTGACCCTACATGGTGCCATATAGATACTTAAGGCCCTCAACCCTATATAACCCTATATTACCCTGTATCATCCCTATGTTACCCTTATGTAACCCCTTTGTACCATATAGATACCACCACCGAAATACATTGCAGCAGTCAGGAGACCTCTACTCACACAACTTCTGGGGATATAGGCCGGGGGGTGGTACAGGGGCTTTGTAGGGGATATATTGGGATAATGGAAAGGAAAATGGAAGCTAGTACGTAGGGTTTAGGGTCATACGACTTTCAAGGCTGCAGTTGAGGTGACCGCGAATGCTAAACCCGAAAACATGGGTGGACTCAGGTAGTCTTTGTGGCGTCTGGAGAATCCCCAAGACCTAAGCCAACCCTCGAACTTACCTTACAAGTTGTTAGCAGGGAATAAAGGAATAAATCCCTATATAATTCCCATATAGTATATTCCCTTATTCCCCACTAACCCTAACCTTAAATGGTAGTTTCCATTTTCTTTTCCATTACCCCTATATCATCCCCAAATAACATAACAACCAGTAAGTTACCCAGCCCCTCGCAATTTGTCCGTAGCCTGAATTGGCTGCAGCTGCTGCTGTCCCGGATTCGCTCTGAGGCACATTATGACTACTATCATTTTTTATTTATTATTGCTGTAACACTAGTGTTGTCATTATTAATATTAGTATTACTACTAGCGCTACTCATATTATTACTACTGTTATGATGATTATTCGTATTATTGGTATGGGGGGTGGGGATCGGGTTTTGAGAATAATGCCTTCGGCGATTTGGCACTAGGGATGAAGTAGAGTTGAGTTGGTGTTTTTCATGTTCATGAAGCTGTCCTTGACTGACTCTTAGTATAGCGTTCATCATATTGTTGGTCATACAGGCCTTCATGACAAATCTTGTTTGCATGATTGCTGGAGTTTGTAAGTTTGGGCTGTTGGGCGGTGTTTCAGATCCTTGCTCGGCTGGGGCTGGCCACATGGGCATGCGGCAGCGATTGTTTTTCGAAAGGGCAGAGTGAGTCACCTTCCCTTGCTCAAAACTCCGTAGAAGCGAAGAGGCTCTTCCAGCGTGAGAAGGTGCAGGGGTTATATGGGGGTTATATTGGGGTTATACAGGGATAATGGAAAATAAAGTGGAAACTACTATCATGGGCTAACCCCAGCTACCTGCCTTTCTTGCACCCACATACCAGAAACGTCAGTGTAAAAATCCGCTTGGATCCGTTGCCGGGGCTTTCTCGGGCATTTTTCATAAGACCTCAATAGTCTCCAGGCCCACCGTACTACAATGTAAAACCCCTAGTACAAGTAAACCCTAAACCCTAAACCCTAAACCCTAACCCTAAACCCGCACATTCTGCTTTCCATATGAAAAGGTCATCTCCAGAATGTTCGTGTCCTCTGAAGCAGCTGCGCTGGCAGTGAAAGTTTGTGTGATCCGAGCATGTCTAAGGCCCCGCAAGTGTTGCGTGTGAAGAAAAGCCCCAGACGTTCCGTTCGATTGCAACCCACTTCGTTTTCGGCCCAATTGGGTTTAGGGTCTGGGGCGTGGGGTTTGGAACTTCCCCAAAATCTGTTGGCCTCAATTGGGTTTAGGGTTTAGGGTCTGGAGCCCAAAACTCTGTTGGGTTCAATCGCCAGGCTCAGCGCCGCGCTGCCATGGCAGAAGCCTCAGTTCATCCCTTGGAAACTAGAACATGAGTTTAGGGTTTCGGGTTTAGGGGGGTTTAGGGATTAGGGTACAGAGCAGGCACTGTGTCA